CTGTGGAGGATTTGTTCAAATTTTTTTAAAGACCCGCCCTCTTCACTTAAAAAAAAAAAATGCATGTGCAAGAACATGCACCAGCCCATTTCTCTTCGTGCACGCTCTGTGTGAAAGTTGCTTTTCTCATAGCTCATACAATCTTACTGTTCTGGAACGCCCACCCTAACCCCTAAATCACTATTTAGAGCGGGGATTGTATAGTGAACTCAGTGAAGTTACCATTCAGACAGATAATCACTTCCCCGTTGGACCGCTGTAGCTCACAACAGATATATGCCTGAAAGTGCACATGGGCAGAAAAACATAGCTAACGGGACGAGCACGTAGTACGGCCTTATGTTAACATATCTCCAGAATGATTGACAATAAGAAGGACCACTTATTTTGATTATCCACCCAGAAATAAAAGATAATCCTCTATTACTTTAAGCTAATAATGTTAACCAATAAAAAAAAGTTGAGAATCTTGGTTTTAATCCTGAATTACAGTTTCAAATACCATAAAAATAACTCCTTCCTTCCCTCCCTCCTGTCCATATGTGGAGGTTTTCAGGTCCTACATTTAAAGCCCCTCCACTACAGAAAATATCTGCAACAAAATCCGCAATTATATTTTGGATTCTTTATTTTTAGATGATTATTGAGGTTGGAGAAAATGGGAAAACTGAAGTCGAAACATTCTGAAATGTTAAATAGTTAATGATAAATGTGTTGGCCTATTTGACCCACAAAGGCAGTGATGGATTGCTATGCCAGATGCTCAAGCCTCAATAAAAGACTCACCTGAATCAAATGATTGTTAAAGTAAAGTAAGCTAACATCTTAGCTAACTTAGAGGGATTGGGAGTAATTGGACTGGAGTACCTACAGGTTGATGTGAAAAGTATTCCAGGTAACAATAATTAAGAAGATGATTGAGAGAAAACCAAAAACGTTCAAATCAAAATCCAAAATACTGATTAAAGTCTTCTGTTTAACTTTTTTTTTTGTTTATCATCTAAATCTGTATGCTTTTCTTCATCCTTTATGTCTTCTGTATTAATCTGAAATGTTTAAAAGATAATTAAATAAACAAAGGTTGCTGAATAAGAAAGTTTGTCCAAACCTTTTCCTGGTATTGTTTATATTACCCTAAAGCTGTTGTGGGCTATTCCACTTCTAGAAGGCTTGTGTCCTGCAATTTTTACATGTGTCCTTGGTCAGACACACATTTTGGGTATGCAGTCAGTTCTGCAGTCCAGAGCCGAGGATAATCACATTATTTTTTAGGTGTGTTTGATCAAAGACACAGCTTAAAGGGATTTGGCCCTTGAGGCCTTGAGTTGCCAACCTCTCCCCTATAGCCATGAAATCCGGAGAAGAAACCAAAGTTTGAAGTATTGTAATAAATACTCAAAACTAATAGATACTATTGCTTTACTTTTGAGTAGATATTGACTGATACATGATTTTTTAAAGGCAGATACCAATTATTTTTAACTGATCCACAATGTATGCTGCCAATTTTTGGGAGGCTTATTCTTGAAGCCGGTATTGCTTTCTGTTCCTCTATCGGTCTCTCTCTACTTTCAAATTCAGTTGCAGCAATGGCGAAATCCCTGATTGGGAATATTTCTTCTAAATTATGTACAAATTTCTAATTGGCTAGATAAAAGAAATGCTCTTGTATCAAAGCTAAGCACCAAATGCTTGAGCCATAGATGGAAAAGTCCTGTTTCTTTAAGTGCTTGTCTGTTAATACTTGGTTTTGAAAAAGTATTCTGTGTTTTATCAAAGGTAAATATTCACCTTTTATTGAACCAACCAGCCTATTAATCCCTTCTGATTAGTGGTTAAGCAAGCAGGTGGTTAGAGAAATGAGCAGGTTCACTTTGCAGCTGACGTTTGAACACAACATTAGCTTAAAGAGATCTAAAACATTAGTGTTTTGAGTTAAAATGACTCATGAAATGCATTTTTTATATCTGTGTTTTAGATTTTGTGTTAATGGGTCACTTCCCCACTGATTTATTCCCTGATTTCATATCCACCATTGGCCATTTTGCCCCCTCATATCTTACTTTCAATCAAATTCTTTCCTACCTATATGCATATATTCCATTATATCCTAGATTATTTCCTAATGTTTTTTTCCTTTTTCTATAATCTTTTTGCTACTCTAAACACCAGAATTTCCCCCTGGTGGAGCAATAAAGGGATTCTACATAATATTCTATTCTAGGTATTTTTAAAAGTTATTGAGCCAATTTGTGATTAAAATATTATAATCATTTAAAATTGGTTCACTGTTCCATCTCTAATTTGGCTCTAGACTTGCAGCAGATTAACACAACCAATGATTCTTACAGACCTCTTGATGGTGGCACTTTTTGGTTGCAGCCATCACTTCACTTTTCCTTAAATCAGATCAAAGGTAGACCAATAAAGATGGAATTACCTGTTAAGAAGAAAATAATCCCCTGGAAAGTGGAAAATAGAGCACCGTTGGAATGAAGCATCTCTTGGCATCATGTTTTACCCAGAAAAAAAATAAAATTGGAAGAAAATTATGGTATTTCAGAACTCATTCTTGCGGGAAAATTAGCATATTGAAAAAGATAAAAACTCCTTTGAAGTTGGAGAAAAAGCATCCAATAGACATATTTCGGCTGTTTGTTTGTTTGTTTTTTCTCGTTTTTCTATGTATATGTGTGGGTATTTTTGTTGTTTTTTTGTTTGTTTTTTTACATTTTTTTATACTTCTTGATGTCTCTAGAGCCTCAAAAGTGAAAATGTTATCAGACCAAGGAAATTATTTTTAAAATAATTTGTCTGTTTTCTTTTAGTCTTTTTTTTTACAATAATTCTTTTATATTTACATTTAATCAGAGGTACACTGCCTTAACTTCATAATATTTGCATGTCACATATATATTAGAATAATTAATTGTTTACTATAATTATTAATAAATACTATTCAATTACTTTTGATAATGAAAGAGTGGACAGACCAAATTAAATGACCTTTTTTAATTCCACATTTTGCTAGATAAAGTAAAAGAGAAAACAAATTGCTGTGAATATATATGACTTTGCATACTTTAGAATCCCAGAAAATCTGAAGTTAACTAATAGCAATACATTTAATGGGTTATTGTTACCTCCAGTCAATTCAATAAAAAGCTAAAATGCAATAAATGATACAAAATATTAGCTTTGTTTTTAATGTGAAATTTGATTTAAATCAACAATAGATTAATTTAAATCAAGCTGCACACTATTGAATGTCAGCAGTGGTAAATGCTATTATATGTTAGCTGAAACTGCTAGCAACGCTAATGTTACCTTTTAGCTGAAACTTTACTAACTATTGTTGTATTTCAAACTCTGCTAACAATGCTAATGTAATATGTCATAGATAATATATACGTAGACGCCTCATTGGATGTTGGTCTACGTGCCTACAGGGCAGCCATCTTGGCTCGGACCACAGTTCAGACAGCTGATGACAAAAAATAAATAAAAATCAACATGAAATTAATTTTAAAAAAATAATAATTTTACTCTCTTTTTAAATCACACTACAACAAATTTTCGTCTATAGATCACAATACTCATTATCAAAGAGCAATCCTTTAAAATACTGAATAATAATAATATAGTATATAAATATATATTTGTGAAACATAAACTTATGATAGATTAATATAAAACTTTGTATTTATCATATTAATATTTAATTGAAAAATATATAACTTTACACATATCTCATCCAGTTTGAGTTCAGTTTAAATTGTTTTTTAATTTGAATAAATATGTGTTATCTAACAAAAAGGTAATTTTAGAATTTGTTTTGGTCTTTTAATTGGTTTAGACATGTACGGAAGTATCGTAATATCATCTCTGACTCATCTTTTATGTGATTAAAATGAGATCTAAGGTGCCTCCTATTCATTCTGACACAGCTTTCTGAATTGGGGTCGGACCCAAGATGGCCGCCCCCTAGGCACGTCGGCCGTGCTGCCAACAGCCAATGAGGCATCTAGGTACATAATGTCTATGGTTATCTGTTAGCTGAAACTCTGCTAGAAATGGTAATGTTTTATGTTAACTAAACCTCTAGCAGTGTTAATGATATCTGTCAGCTTAAACTCTGCTTGCAGTGCTATTGTTAACACTAGAATATGGTGCATCCTAACATAAATCCAAACATTTTAATAGATTGATATAGTTTCATTTTGCTTGTTTTTTTTGTTTGTTTTTGTTTTGTTTTTGTTTTTTGTTTTGTTTTTTTTTTAAGTGCAGCTACTAGCCTGGACAAGCTATATACTGTTTACTTTTACTAGGCCTAAACACCCAGAAAATTATAATTGTGTGATTCTAGGGACCATTTCCAGAAATTCATTTTTGTGTTAGCTTTAAAGTTCCTTAGATTGCTAAAATAAAAAAGTGTTTATATTGTTTTTTTTACTTTTGATTAGCTGCTTTATGATTATCTCATGTCACCCACCTCCCTCTGTCTCCACATCTAATACCACCATATTACAGTCTACATACCTTGAAATGAATTTCCATCTCTGACTGCTACATCAGCACTGAGAAATGTTTAACTGAATTGTTATTCGCTGATTCTCTGCTCTATAGATTTAACACTATATCCTGGATGGTTCTGATATTTAAATCCCATGTGTAGGCAGTATTTGTCCCATTCAGTTATAATAACATTAAAACAGTGATATTAGAGTATAGAGGGGATAAAGACAATAGGCTGTATACTTTTTGTCATTTATTGTAATATTGACGAGTGTTAACTGTCTGTAACACAGTGCCACATTATGAAATCATAACAATAATAAATGATATGGATACAATTGAACATGTGTGGGTTTTGTTTTGTTGTCTTTATGCACACTTTTTGTCATTTGAGCAGGTTATTGCTGGTTGAATGCTGGGGTTTTGACTTTGCTGCCCCCTCTTGGACACTAAGTAGGTTTTCATAGAAGTCAAGGTAGGCCTGATTTTGGTTTCATATTCCTTTATTCTGTTCAATAAAACACTGTAATTCCTGCTTATTAAATGTAACATCTTAGTCCATTGCTTGCAGAAACTCATAAAAAAACATTCATACACTATAATGCTAATTATAAAATTCATAACAATAAGTAAAAATCAAACCTTCATAACAATCTTTTAATTAAGTTCTAAAGTTTCTAACTATGAATGTTCCCCCTAAAAAATGTAGAAATAGTTGCAATTATTTCCAAGTAACTTTACATTGAGATACAGCGACTTTGGGGGGCTTCACATCTTGGTGAGACGCAGGGTGTTCAAGCGGACCCCCAGTATTGTGGCCCCAGAGGCGTACTGAATCTCTCTGAGGATCCCGTTCCACTTCTTCTCAGTCTCATTATACCTGTGAAGGTTTAATGAAGAGTAAAGTTAAACTGGGTGGAGTCGTTAACATTTCAATGCACAGACTTATTTTTTTTCTATTAAGTCAATTATTCTTAAAAAATATAGGTATGTAGGAAAGGGGTACCTCCAAACGTCGTTCATTTCTTTGGGAAGGATTTCGTCGCTGTCTTCCAAAGGCATCATAGCAAAACCTCCCACAGCGTAAAGGAAACCAGCAAGAGATACTAGATTCAGAGAGCTCCGCTCCTGAGGAAATGGCTCAAAATCTGACCACCTGCAGCATGAAAATAATAAAAAATAGTTTTAGACTATTAGTTTCACTAGTTTCATGTCATCCTTCTGGTTTCTGTTTATCCATTTAATGATAATTACTATGACAGGCCTGCTCTTAGGTATTTTAAGTTCTTTCTCTATGCTTCATACTCAAATATAGAATTTGATTTTTTTTTTTATGCTGCATTGAAGACAAAACCTGATTCAACATATTAGTTTACGTCAGTATCTCTCAGGTCAGAGCTCACATGTTGGTAGTGATGTCGTACACCTCCACTGTATCTGTGAGTCCGTCGTCAGTCACTCCTCCTGCTACATATATTTTGTCTTGGTGAAGAGTTGCTCCAAATAAAGAGCGTGCCGTCTTCATGGGAGCGAGCTCTTTCCATTCAAATCTCTTGAGATCATATGCACACATCCTCTTCAGACAGCTCCTTTTTTTAAAATATAACAACACAGTAACTTCTAGGTTTTCCTAGTCTCTTTATGACTGTTGTGATCATAAGATGTTGTTTTTGCCACAGATACTCACTTGTTGTCTCCTTTTCCACCAATCACATACACAACATCATTGTGTGATACAGTTGAATGTCCATAAACTGGGTAAGGAATTGACTCAGACTCACCCCATTTAAAGGATCTATGAATGAGCAAAAAGGGGAACAAATTTTGAGACGGTTGTTTTAAGAACATCTGAAGGAGAAATCGTTTTAACTTACTGTCTGTCGTAGACCAAAACTGTATCCAGAGTGCCCTCCTTGTCTTTCAGCTCCTTTCCTCCCAGGATGAAGATGGAGTTCTCGCCTTCAGCCATCCCAAACAGGAAGCGGGGAGTCGGGAGGGGTGGCATGCCAAGCCAGTCTGTACTAACCGGGTCATACTGAGGTGGCAGAAGTATTTACAGATTATTATTATTATTTAATATGGAAGTGTGCCTTAGTTAAAGGTAAAGGCTGGCTGTTTTGCTCCTTCTCTATTTCATACCTATATGGTTTTAATAATTTTGTACCAACTCGTCCTCAGAATAATTTTTTGTGTTACCTGGAGGCATGAATCATATTTTTATTGGTCCCATGCCTCATACAGATATCAAGATAACAGGATTTTATACAAGGTTTTCCAACAATAACAAGCAGTCAAGATAAATTTTAAATAAAAATTTGGCTTTTTATTCGGTAAATCGTGAAAATTCTCGGGCGTTATTGAAGCACAGCTGATAGCGATGTTGTCTGCAGCAATAAGTCCTGGGTTTAAATCCCAGCCTGGGTTCTTTAGGAAAAAGTAAGTTCTCTCCAGGTTGTCTGACTTTCTCCTACAGTTGGAAGAAAACTGACTGGTGAGTCCATTGTATACTCGATGTTGGCCTTATGGATGGGTGTGAGCAGGCATGGTCGTCTGTTTCTCTGTTACCCTGGCAACCTCTTTAGGGCGTGCTCCCCTGCTGGACCAGTGACTGCTAGAGATGGTCACAACCTCAGACCTTTATGTTGCTTTTTGGGTAAAGGCCTCTCCCTCTAGAGGTCTGTCATTTCATGTCAATTCAGAGCTTATTCCACTGAGGATAATGAGGATCCTACCAGCTAAAGCCAGAGGACACACATATATACAGACCAATATTGGAAAGAACTTATCTTTTTCTTAAACAGTGTGATCGCTGGACAATGAAAAATTGTTTTTCGTTATTTAAATGTGAAATGTGAAATGAAAGAAAAGTATAAAACAGACTTGTGGAGGTCCACATTCCTCTATCTGATATCTTGGCTTATTTCTTTAGATTTTTATTCAGTGTCACACGACGAAGCAAGGTGTCTAAGGTGCTGCCTTAACACATCCATAGGTGTGCCTTCAGTTGATTGCTATGACATGAATTAACTTATGATAGCATCATTTTAGAATCAGGTCTTTTCCCAGTGGTTTAAAGGAATAATGATCTCAAATTTAAAACATATAAATTTAAAATTACTAACAAAAGAAAACTGTTAATTGTTCTGGCATAAAGTAAAATTGCATGTATTATGCATGTTATTTTTTTATACAGTGATTGTAAATATCTGGTTTCAGCCTTATGCTAAAATTCTGTATACTAAACCTCCTTTATAAAAATCCATTTGATTGTAATATATTAAGTGTTTTATGTGTAATTCTACAATAGTTTTTCTCTGCAATTTTATTATGAAATGCCAGGTCTAAAAGGTATATCTAATTTCTTCTATATTTGTAGAATATCTTTCATACCTGCAGGAAATAGGAGCACAGAGGGTCCTCCTTGTTCATTTCATCAACAAATAGTCCTCCGATCACAAAGATCTGGTTCTCCTTGGTCACCAGGCTGACGTGGTTCTTAGGAACCTGCGTGGAGACTGACGCCATGAAGCAGTCGTTGCCTGATGGGTCGTACGCCACAGCACCGCTTTCGTTCACCATCAGTATCAGGTCCCTGACAAACATTCCAAATCGCAGGTTATCGTTCAGGATAGCCGGTAGAAGATCTTCTTCATCCTCCTTGTCTTCACTTTGTCCGTCTTTCTCTGCTCCACCTTCCTCCTTCTTTACCTTTTTAATCTCTGGCAGTTTCCCACTGCGAGCATCCCTGACCATTTTTAGCTTCTGCTGAAGCTCTGGATGAGCAGAGATCAGTTTGTGTTTCTCCACTTTATCTTTCAGATAATCATCTGTTACTAGACGCAAACGAACACAATCCAGCAAATCCGGGAGTTCTTTCTCTCTGCCCTCCGTGTCCCGGGACACCCACCGCATGAGAGCCTCGAACACAGCCTCCTCTGTCTCCACATTCAAATTGTCATTTGTCAGAATGGCAGCCAGTTCAGTTGCATTGAGCTGGAGGAAGTCTTCGTCTTTGGAGATCAGCTGAAAACGCTCACAGGCGTAGTTCCGGGCAGAGACGGCCAATCTGGGGCAGTCCAGCATCAAACCGAGCCTGAAGATGGCCAGGCAGTTGCTGAGGCTGAGGCGCTTTTGTAAAAAAGACACGCATACAGTGAAAATTGAAGGAATCTGGTACAAGTTAGCAACGGCAAAGATGTCCTGAACGTTCTGCTCTGTGACATTGATCTTCGAGGTGTACAAGTACTTCAGAATCAGACCGATGACACCAGGTTCAACGTCCTCTAGCACAATTTCTCTCTTTTTGCTCTCATCCAGGTCGGACAAAAAGATGGAGCGGAAGTAGGAGCTGCAGGCACACAGCACCAGGCGGTGGCAGGGAAACTCCTTGTCTTTGATCTTTAGGACACAGTCCACCAACTTGTCATTCTCCAGCAAGTCATACAGGCCGTCCTGGAGCAGAGTCTGCTGGTACAGCCTGGGCTCGTCCATCGGGTTTATAGGCAGAGCCATCTGAGGGGTCTTTAAGGTGCTTCAGATCGAATAAAACCGTATCCTCTTTGTTGCAGAGTATTTGGCTTTCCAGTCCTGACAGTGGGTTTAGAATGCCCTGAGAGCCTGTTCACTTCTTACTCAGCTGTCCTGACCCTTCATCTGAGCTCCAACTGGAGGGTTATTTATAGACTGGCTGCTCGCTTTAGAGCTATGGGGGCTTTATTCTGGAACATTGCTGGAAAGGCAATATCCCCATCTCTGTCCGGTTTTCCTACCTCCCACATGCCGCTCCCCTGGATAATCCACCCCCTCTCCAACAGCTGAGGCATATCTCATTAGAAACATTTCCGATATGAGTCACAGTGAGTTGTGAGGGTTCATGAGGCCTCTGTGACCAATTCAACCAAACCATGAGGTCAGATGGCTTGAGCCTGTCCCGAATGTACCACCTCTATGTTTGTGAGGTCATTTCTAAAGCTGTTACAGAACTCCTGAGTCTGAGTCAGTCTACTGAAGATCTCTGGGCCTGTAGAATATTCGATTCCTTGCCTGGGGTCTTTCTGCATGGAGTTTGCATGTTCTCCCTGAGCATGCGTGGGTTCTCTATGGGTACTCCAGCTTCCTCCCACAGTCCAAAAACATGACTTTTTCCTAGCTATAACAAACTGCTGACCTGTCCAGGGTGTATCCAACCTCTCACCTGTACACTGCCGGAGATAGGCCGCAACCCTGACAAGGACTAAGCTAAATTGGATGGATGGAAAGTTGTTAATTTCAAAAGTTTGTTAAGCTCAGTTCATTTTTAATGATGCTGAAACCTGAACTAAACAACTGAATCAAACCCCATCTCCCTCTAAAACTAGTTACCTCTATTATTATTTTAGGTTTTTATTTTAAATTTTATTAGTGTAATAGCCAATTTTTAACCCAAATTGATCTGTTTCAGTAAACCCTTTAGTGTTTTTTTCATATGAAGACCAAACATTTGGATCTTCTATGTTTTTGCTCCCACAGGAAGTGTCTTTGTGGTTTTAAGCAGCTGGTCTTGGTGCTAGTTATCACCGGACACAAATATTGATCTGACCTTTTTCATTGTCAAAACCCTTTTAATGACAAATGCTTTTTTTCCAACTGGCAGCTCATTAGGATTTTTCTTGCTCTCTAAAGATGACCTCTGTGTCTTTACCATGTTCACAAACTGTAGTGCTTTACAGTCTTTAAATCTTCCTCAAAACGTTCAAATTAATTGTTCATCTGGAAAATTAACCCCTGCCTCTTTGTCAAGTCCTCCACAGGTTAATCCCCAAGCAGTACTGAGATACATCTTTCCATCTATTCTGAAGAAAAGGTTCCCAACAGCATGATTCTGCCACCACTATGCTCCGGTGTGGGTGTGGTATATTGTTAGTTTAGTCCACACATTGCATTTGTCCCCGGCAAAACACTTGTAAGGTTAATAGGGTTTAATTTAGTTGTACTTTTTACAAGAACAAATAAAACCTCTTCATGTAAACTTACAGCCATATATTGCTTTTCTTATATTGTAATGATGAGCATCAGAAAGTCAGTGCTTTTTTTTAAACAAGACATCTTTATAAATCCAGGACTATACATCATGTTACATTGAGTAAATGCTTTTATTAACTTTGAACCATCTGTTACATCTATCATGACATCTAAATTTACCATCTGTAAATACAATCATTTGTATTTACAACCACTCTGGGTTCATTCAAAATTGTTCTGCTGTAAAAGCTAAGTGGGACATAATGAAGCTTCCAATACTCTTATATAGATGGTTTGTTCATCTCTGAATGGAGAATTTTATTACTCTGCTTTCTCCTTGCTGGGATCGGCCACTGGCTGTGGAGCAGGAGTGGGAGGACTGGGGGCTGTGGTGGCATTAGGAGGCGGGGCAGGAGGAAGTGGATCAGGGTCATCAATGAGGGCCTGTCTCCTCTCACGCTCCTTGATCACTTGAATCAGGCAGTAGGTCACAAACATGACGATGATAGTAGTTATAGGAAAGCCTAAAGGAAGGAGTTACAAATAATTACAAATAAAAATAATTACAGAAAAAAAAAAATAATAATAATAATATATATATATATATATATATATATATATATATATATATATATATATGTATGTATAAAAATATATTAAAAAAAGAAAAACTAGAGATGCACATAGATACTGGCGAGTCCCTGAAATTGGTTTGAATTTCCAAATGAAAATCTGGGTTCCTGATTGGTTACAGGCTGCCAAAATAATTGAATCTCATCTTTTTACAATGAGAGAACACATAGCTACCAGAGACCCTATAAGGGTAAGGAGAATGGATGGTAATTGTAGTGGTAACTGGTTATTGTTTTCCTTGGACATTTAATACAGCTGTAGTAGTAAAAAAAATAGCTGTCTATACCAGTATGTGTATTTACATTAAACTGTCCATTAAACTTGGCAAACTAAACTGGTGCTAGTTTCAGCTGATGGATCTTGCTGGATTTCTAAATGTTGGCAGCCTTTTGGAAATCTGAGTTTAAAGTTGAGGGTCTGCATACTCTGGAATAAAGGTACAATGTATGTGAGATTTAGCCTTCCCCCTGCTCTGCCAGTCAATCGCAAAGACTGTAAGACGATTCTGATAAGTGTGGCTGCATGGAAACAAAAAAAGATAACTGATGAGAGGTAAATAAAATTATATTTAAACCTGTTTTATTACCTCATATTTTTAGCAATAGTCGTGATTATTTGGGTGACTTTATCAGGCCTTTTTGCACCAATATAACAACTGGCAAAGCCTGTAGTCCCCATGTAAAGGAATGGGCAACAGCCCCCTGCAAGAGGCATGAGGAATATTGCATTTTGATCCAAACAGATGAGGGCAGATTCTTGCTTATTATTATTATTTTACCTTCCTTTATTTTGTGGCACTGGGTGCAAGAATGAAAGTTCTATGATCTATCAGCTATTCCCCATCATGTTTTTCCTTAAAACAGGCCGCTCCATCATGCCGATCCGATTTTCTCTGAATATTTTATCCCCGCTTTTCATTTATGGCAGTGCTTACAGCAGATTTGTAATGAAGCATGAGAAGCTGGTCCACTTGTTGATCATGTTAGGAAGCTTCACTGTTTGCATAACATAGAACTCATAGTATTCATCTTTTCCTAAGCGGAGAAATGTGTGCCCTATTACTTACACTCATTTTTGAAGCTTTGCATAAAAAAAAATCTGTGAGATTGGAAACCATCCTTGACTAAATAAAATGGACTTTGATGAGCTAAACCATTGTATTAATCTGTTTAGGAGGATTGCTTAGGGTCAGCATTCCATTGCTTGTGTCCAAGCTTGAGCTTGATGGGTCTCTCCTGCTGCAAAATATTTATACAAAATGCACAAGGAGGTCCTTGCACAGCATAACGAACTGAAAAAAGATCCCTGTTGTTGACACAGACAATCCTGTTTACATTTATTAAAGGATAACTAGGCTATTAAAAAAAACAAAAAACAAAGATATTTTGCTATTTAAAAATGTCCTTCCCCAAAGCAACTTTTTTCTTGTTTTTTCTCTCCAACAGTGTGAAGTTATATTTTCTTCTGGATGCTGAAGAAATATTTTGGCAGCTGTAAATTCTAGTTCTTTAACAGAAACTGGAATGTTCCACAATAATCAGAAGTTCAAAGCCTAACAAAAACTGGGCCCCGATTGGAGCATATCCATGAAAAACTGAGATCACCTTTGAGAAGCAGCCGTTTGGCGACCAACTTTACGAAGTCCAAACTGCTCAGAGCCATAAGATTGAACAGCACAATGCACCAGAAGTTGAATGAGTTGAAGATTGCTCTTATGCGGCGGGACATTGCCTCCGACATTGCCATCTGTAAGGAAAACATGATCAACACCTTCTTTAATTATCCAGAAATAAAAGGGGAATAAAAAGAAATAACCAACCTCAAAGGATGCAAATGGCTCCATGGAGAAGACCTTAGCAGCCCACAGCTCAAAGTTCAAACCAAAGCAGTTGAAGGAAGCCCAGAATAGGACTGTTTCACAGGGGCCCAACCAGAGGATGGCCACACCATACGTGCAAAGTGTTGCCACCAGCTCCTCTACCATATTGTCATGCTTTCCACCAAGATAATCATAAATATACCTGAGGAAAGAAAACCCATCAGAATCTCCAACATCCAGCATGACTAAAATAGTGAATAATCTATAGAGCTTACTTGCACAACCAATCATTGATCCCTCTGTCAAAATGCCTAAAAAAAGAAAACAGTTTCATTACCTGAAATCCTGTCATCAGCTCTTCAGCTTCAAATCCAGAACTTACGTTTCAGAGAACACATAGAGCATGGTGATGCACTTTGGTGGTTTGGGCGGGTCCAGATGATCCAGTCTGGACACGGTGTTGATGACTCCAAACATGACAGCGGCTTTTACCCAGTCATAGACCAGGTTGATGTAGGCCAGACCAACTGCAAACATGCAGGTGCATTGATTCTGATAATAAACTCAGTCTTTAAAACCTGAAATATCCCTTAAGATTTTTTTTTATTTTGTAAACAAAACAAAAACAAAAAACCACGCATACCTTTAAATTTAGATAAATTAGTGTGGTACCTACCCAGAGCCCAGTCAGAGAGGTGCTTCAGCAGCTTTATATCAGTGGGGATGGTGAGGATGTACATGAAGTGAAAGAGGACATCCACTACGAGGACGACTCCCAAATGGATCACACCCTGCAAGCTGATGTTCCACATCTCCCACTCTTTTCTGCTCAGGTCAGACTTATTGACCTGCAAAGAGCAGCAGTGTTATGTCACAACTTGTCTTGTATAGTCGTGAGAGAATATAAGGCGACCTGCTGGAGTTCCCACACACTTTGATCAATTCAAATTTTTTCGTCATATTGAATGACAAACTTCAATGGATATATTATATATGTAAACATGAAGTAAGAGGAGAATAAAATTATGATAAAAGAAATATTGTGAAAGTAATGTATGCACATCTGATGATTTGTCTATTCTTTGTAAAATGGCTCAACCTCAGAAGATGGAGATAAACTTAAAAAATCAGTTGTAAAAAAGTCATGACACAATTTTTTGGGCTGTAGTTTGATTGGGTCAATATTATCCTACCTTTTGTTGTTTCTCACCCTTTGTCTTCAGTGATTATTGTCCTT